GCATCCCTGGCTTCTACTCACAGATGTCAGGAGCACACCCCAGTTGTGACAATCAGAAATATCTCCAGATATTGCCAAATGTCCCCTACAGGGAAAAATCACTCCTGGTAGAAAACTCAGCCTTAAATATATCCAAAGTTCAGTCCCTTTTCTCCACCTTCACTGCCTTGACCTTGGTTCAAGCTATAACCTTGCCTCTCATTTCTGTGGTAGCCTCTTAATTGGCCTCCCTCTTCCACCTTTCTCCACTGACTGCCCACATGATTTTATTAAGATCTTATTAAAAGGAAAGTCAGATTATGTCACCACTCTCTCAAAACTCTCCAGCGCCTTTCTATCCCACCCAGAGCTAAAGCCACAATTGTATTGTGACCTAAGAGGACATAGGTGATTTTGGACCTATTCTTCTCTGACCTAATCGACAGTCACAGTCTCCATGTTCCCTCTGTTCTGCATGCTGGCTCCCTCTCTGGTCCTCAAACATGCCACATGTGCTCCTGCCTCAGGGCCTCCTGACTCGTTCCCTCCATCTGGAATGTTCTTCACCCGGATATCCCCATGACTGGCTCCCTCACTACCTTGAAGTCTCTACTCAAATTCACTTCCTCAGTGAGGCACCGTATAGCCCACCTACTTAAAATTTCCGTCTCTTGTCTATCACTGCTTTCCCTCTTCCCTGCCTTATCTTTCTTCCTAAGCACTTACTTAACACCATCTAACATGCTCTCTACTTAACATCTTGACTGTGCTTTTTACCCTGTTTATGGGGACCGAGGATTTGTCTATTTTATTCTCGATTTATCTCACGTGCTCATAACAGTACCTGGAACATAGTAAGGACCTGAGAAGTGTTAGTGGAATGAATAAGTCTCTTAGAGTAAATACTAAGGGATTTTTTTAGAAACCATTAGTTACTGTGAATTCAGAAACCATGGCCCGTTCATCTCTGTAAGTGTGCAGACATGAATAGTTATATTTACTTTAAACAACCAACATTATTCCTTATCTGATATCCTTGCCAACGTGATTCTTCTTTCTTGGCACCTATGACAGATTGTCTGACACTAAATATAGATCAGAGGATGGCATCCAATGATGACAGGCATTCAACAACCTTGCCAGAGCAACGACCCTACAGCCTACAGCTCACCAGTCTCTCCCTAAGAACAGAAACCCTTAGCAACATAGATACCGCTCTCTTAGGATTCATCAGTCCTTGTTTATCCAAAGCCAGGCCTCACTTAAGAATGCCTCTAAATTGGATGGGGTTGACTAACGTATAACCTATGGACTCGGGGGAAAACAACAGAATCCAGCAAAGAGCTTAAGTGGTTGACACTACAATCTAAACCAGAAAATGGTTTCTAGGTTTCAAAAAGAAAGTATATTTAACTGGGTCTCCATGGAAATCTGTTCAATTCCAGATTACATTGGATCTGGATGGCTGGACTTGATAGCACACTCCAAAAAAATTCAGCAAATTTCAACTGCACTATGGTTTTGTTTTGTGTTGTGTTGTTTTTTTAAAAAAAAATCCAAATGAAGTATAATAAACTCATCCATAAGCAGGGAATAGATTCTAAGATGCTGGGTTGTCTTTGGAAGTGATGACCCAGAACTGCTCTAGGACATATGACTCCTCAAATTTATTTATTGTTTACCTTTACAATAATGTTGCATGTATGTCATTATTTATGATAGCAAAACACTAAAAACCACTGAAATTCCAAGCAATAGGGGAAAAAAGATAAAGTAATAGGGTGCTGGTTAAATAAATTATTGAATAAAAATACAAAAGAATACTATGCGACCATTAAAAGATGAAATCAATCCATGTGAACTAATAAGTAATGTTCATCAAGACATCACATTATGATAAAAAGCAAACTGCAAAAAGGGATGCAGAGCATAACCCTGACTGTATGAAGCCCAGTGTGTGTGTGTATGCACGCACATATACGTATGTATAAGTTTGGCGTCTTCATATCCACATTCCCCACCATTCTCCTGCCACCATGCTCTCTGCCCAGGAGGCTGTCTGTGGGACCATCAATGGGTTCCTTTGCCTTGTGGCTTCTGGTTGGAATCAGCCAATGGAAGCCCTGGCAGGAGATGTGAGGACAAGAGTTGTTCATTCCCTTGGTCCCCTTCCTACTTTTACTGTAGGTTGGTCACATCCCTCTAACCACAGCATTTGTCAGCATCCTCTCCATAAAGTTTTCTCCCCATATTCTAAAAGCCACTCTCTTTCTTTGCCCCTGCACGCCCAGAAGTCATAAAGATTAACACAGTACTAGGGGCACTTTACAATTCCTTTAAGCTCCTCTTAAACCTTGCTCACATTTGCCCACTATAGCAAATAATTCTATTACACTCTTCTCAATTACCTACTTCAAATGTGCCATTTATTTTTTTTGGCAGAACCTTAATTAATGATAATAGTAATTTTTTGTGTGTGCTTTGTGTGATTTATATACACAAATGGGTATGAACTTCTGTTTTTAATTTTGCATCTTTTAAATTTTTCCACTTTAAAAATATCTGATCAACTACAAGTAATAAATTTGTAATTCAAAAGCAAAATCAAGTGGAAAAAAATATATATATACATGTACATATATATTACCTTTTATAAGGCACACGAAGGAGAAATAGATGGAACAACTACCAGGAAAACTGAGAGTGATGACACCGATGTTCATTTTGAACACTGCAATGCGTCTGATGGGAAGGACTCTCACTCAGAAGCTTAAGCTTGATACTTATCAAGATATTTGGCCAGTAGAGTGGATTTGTACCATCTTGTTCCACTGACCAACTTTTAGAAAAGCAGACTTACTTTTAAAATTTTGTGCAAAATAAGCCCATTTTCTTAAAACATCTCCTTTGTCAACCGATGGTGGTTGGTACCAATTCAATGATTCAAAACAAATAAGAATCCCCAATTTGAGGGGCGGTGGAGAAGGAAACTATTCAGTGCAAAACAGCCCAATTGTGACACAGCATGGGCATGGCTATGAAAACAGCAAGGCTGTAGAACAGCTCTGGTGCCAGGTGGCCCTGGAGCCAGGCCCCTCTCTGACTAGACAGCACAGCTCCACTCCTAGTCTGGTTTGCTCTGCCCTGCTGGTCTCCTTTGCACTGCACTGCACTGCTCTGCTCCACAATGGTCTGCTTTGCTCTGCTCTGGTGAGACATCACTGGAGGTTCAGCTGAGCCAGGAGATGCATCCTTCATCCTCAGGTATAAAGGGAGTGTGCTCCCTAAGCCACAGGGGAGCTGGCTTATATGGACAGCAGTCCCCCCACCCCTGGTCGCTGATTGGTCCAGCCTCATGCAAATAAGGGCTCCAAATCCTCCAAGTTTGATTAGTTCAAAAGGCACTGTCCTGTTTGATCAGAAGAGAGCCGCTCTGATTGGCCAGAGCTGCACAGCTTCCACTGAATGGGCAAAGCCTCAGTCTGTTGGTGAAATAGGATTCCAGGAGCTCCTTTAGCAGAGCTGGCTCAGGAGGCAGAAACACAGTGCGGGCAGGCAGGTCAATGCAGAAGCAGGCAGTTCAGCACAGAGGCAAGCAGTTCAGGGCCAACTTCTCCACGGAGTGCGGTTGCATGAGATGCCCCTATGCAAAAATGGCAGCTAGGTTGTTTTTTAAATTTTGAACCCAGTTAGCCACCAGGAGCCTGTCTTAGTAGATATCATTTATTCTTCAGGGTTCATACCTTCGTGTTTCAGATTTGCTACTTTCCATTTTAATTGTACTTTTTTGAGAACTTTAGACAGGAGTATAGTCATATATGTGTTTATTTAAACTTGACAAATATTTAGTATTTTGTGATTAAAACAAAATAGCCTGATTTATAGACATGCAATACTAACTTTTAGAACTATTTCCAAAGCTTCTGAAAACCACCATGGTAAAAAATGTAAATCACTAATGTGATATTAGAGTCCACAATTAAATTAACTTATAGTGGCTTTAATGCAATTAAATTTCCTCCAGACTATATCTCTAATGGTGCTGGGTTTTTTACTTAATACACTTTAAAGCGTAATTTACTTTCATTTTTGCAAGTCATTTAAATATTATAAATATCCTTTTATACATATTTTCATGCTGACACAATACATTTGCAGTCTATTTAATTTACAGATGATGAGACTAAAATGAAAACTCTTTGAGGACCATACATCTTCTACAACATCACATTTTCCCCATTCCAAGATATTAAGAATATAAGTTATCTGTATTCGCAAGAATGGACTCTTGAAACAGTAATAAATATTTTAAATGATCCGATTGTAGAACTTTAAGAAAATTAAAATCTAGAGCAAAGAAAAACATGAATGATACAAAGAGCCAAGATGTCTGAGGTCATAATGCAAGTAAATAAATTATTAGTCTTTAAAATTAAATTCAACAGATCTTTTCTATAGCCAAATAACGAAGTATTTAGAAAAGAACATAAGTTATATGAAAGCCTCCCAAACTGAATTCAACTTATTAATATAGTTTTGTATAAAACACATTAAAGTGACTTCATAGTCACAACTAATGAGCCAAGTTGTTAGGATAATTTCTCATGCTCCCAAATCTATACAGGTTTACAGGGAGTATTCAATAATAAATAGCTAACTAGTTTGTACCCTAAATGAGAGGCATACAGAGCTGGTCCAAAGCATTTTTAGCCAAAGATATCAGCTAAATTCAGTTGTCATTTCTGCTCCAAGTGTGCTACACAGCGGTGATATATCTGACAGAGGAGAAGCAGGTGTAACTATGGAAATCATATCTTTAATTGACAACAACATGAAAATTCAGGATAACAGGCATCACAGTGGAGGTGACAATTATGCAGGGATAAAAATCAAATGTAAGTTTTATTATAATGAAGACTCTATTTTCCTCTCTGGATATTTCCCACTATGCACAAATAAGAGCAAGAACAGAAATAATATTTTTCTCACTGACGGAAAAGGAGCAGCCAGGACCTTCCTACCTGGTTTCCAGATGAACTGATTAGCCTTCCTGCCTTCCAAATGAGCTGCATGGGACAGCAAGAGAGAAAGGAACAGAAATAGCTTCCTCCTGCTCCTCCATGCCCAGCAAGTGACAGCCAAATTACCCTTTGGAAACATTCTTCAGCTTTGCAGCCTCTTGACTTGCCTATTCCTAAAAGAAAAAGGAAAATCAGATCAATTTCTTCTGTACAGAAATTCTGGAAACTCACTTTGACTGGTAGGACTTTTATCATGATGGCATTACAAATGTTCCATTACATAAGGAGAGTATGTATAATATTAACATTTTTAAGGCCAGCAGTTAATTAGCCACATTTTCAATCCATATCCTATGAAGGAATTATCAATTCCAGAAACTCCACAGTCCCCTGTTCAGTTTACTTTGATTTTTAAAAGGACCATTAGCAGATACCTAGTATATTGCCACCTTCTATTCAGCCAACCTTCTTGAGCAGCTCAAGAGGGGGAAAAGATATACATACACAACAAAGTCTAAAATAGGGTGAGGACTACTCTAACAGTAGTTAAGAAAATGAGATGGAAAGATTGAGGGGGAGGCAATGAATTCTTCTGTAGTAAGAAAAAAGAGAGGGAGATCTCACACAAAATAATGTTCGAGAGGAGATTTAGGGAAACATAAGTGCTTAAAGGTGCCTGGAAGGGCATTTCAGGCCATGAGAACTAGGTGTGAAATGTATTTTGTGTTTGGGGACTGGAGAGTGGTCTGATGACTGCTCTGAAAGACACAAAAGGGGAGGGAGGAATGGAAAGAGATGAGATTAGAACAAAGGCTGGGGAGCAAGTTATAAAGAGCCTTAAATGTTATGTGAGAGATTTGGCTTCATTCTGTAAATAGCAATAAAAATTATAGGAGAGCAAGTGACTTTTAAAACTGACATCGGTCTGCAGCATGGATTACCGGAGGGCAATGTCAGAGAACTGGAGGCCAGTTGGGGAGCTCGTGAACTAGTCTAGGTGACTATTGATGAATCAGGAGAAATTTGAAAGGTAGCGTGGAGGCTGGATTAAAAGGATTTAGATGGGATATGAGAGAGAGAAGATTTAAAAAGACAGCAAGACTGCAAATTTAGATGACTGGACCCAGGGGAGTTATTTGCAAAAGACTAGAAACAGGAAGAAGGGCAAGTCTGAAAGGGAAGACACAAAGAATTCCCATTAGAGAATATTAAGTCTGATATGCCTACAGATATCCAGGTAGAGTTTTCCAAACAATAATCAGGAAATTCTTCCTGGAGTTAGAAGATCTGAAATAACTTGCCACAATACATACATTAGAAAAATAAATCAAGAGTTGTAGGTAAAAAGCAATAAAATGGTTGAACTATAAAAAGATAACAAGGGTAGAAGTTATTACCCCTGAATGTATAACCACGGACGTGCTGAAAGTGGGGGGGGGGG